CCCGGGCCCGCCGCCCCGGGCAACTGGCGGCTTAGCGCAGGCCTCCGGCTCCTTCTGCTCCGGGTTCCCGAGGGCCGCCTCTGGCCACCTCGGGGCCCCGCGCTGGCCGCGGAGGAGGCTCGGACCAGGAGAGAGTGCAGCCGAGGATCAGGACCCGCTGGGGAGGAGCTCGCGAAGTCACTTCCAGGCGCGGACAGGAAAGAAAGCCGAAGCGGAGAAATACCGGCGCTCTCCTCGCCCCCGCCTGCGCTGGCTGGGTTTCTGCTGCAAGTTGTCCGCGACCCAGGCCGAGACTCGGGACGGCTGCGCGGGGGCGGGGCGGCGCGCCACCCTCCCTGCCGCCGGCGAGCGCAGGCTTTCGCGCGGGCCGCTCAAGGCAGCATCGGGAACACTCCTGAACTTTTGAGCATCCGTCACCCAGGGAGGACTTTTTTACGCAGTTACATTTTTTCCGGGCCGCGGCGCCCCGCCCCCCGCGGCGGCGGCAGCCAATGGGAGCCGAGAGCCGCGGTGAATGCGCTCCAGCGAAAGGTCCGGCGCGCCTCGCGCTCCAGCTCTGGGCCGCGCTGGCAGTCCCGCGCTGCGCGCCCCGCCCGCCCGCCCGAGCCCCGCTTGCCCATAGCCGCCGGTGGCCCGCCGGTACCTCTCCCTGGCTGGGCGCGGGCTCTGGCTCTCCCCATTCTTCCCCTCAGACTTCCTGGGTCCCTCGGTGGCCCCAAGCTGACATTTTCTCGTCCCACCGGCTCTCCCGCGGCCACTTGGTCGAGCCTCCAGTCTCTCGCGTGGACGTTCACACTGCCCTTCGCCTCCCGGGCCGTTGCCAGCGCCTAGTAGTCTGGGCCTCGTCCCTCCTCTCTGCTCCTCCGCTGGCGCTTTCTTACCCCCCACCCCCCATCCCTTTTGTCCTTTCCGATTTCCAGTGTGAACACAAGGCATGGATGTCTCCAGCGCCCACCCCCCAAAAAAAACCCCAGCATTTGTGGGTTATCCCATCTGATCTCAGTCACAAAGGGTATGGTTTTAAGGACACCGTCAGAGCCGTGCTCTGTTCCCAGCGGGGAAGGAGTTGTCACCATCTTCTCACCCCTTCCCCAAATCTTCCACAATAGGAATAAGGGAGGGGTAAGGGGCCCCTGCCATCAGCTTTAGGTGCGTCCTGCGCTGGTCGAACCCATTTCCGACCGCCCGAGTCCTTGGCTCACAGGTCCCTCGGTGGTGTCCCAAGGGTTAGGTTAGCTCGGGCTGTGGCCGCCCTCTTGTTCCCCGCGCTCCAGCTACTCGCTGGAGCCGGGTCGTGACAGGCTCGCCGCCCACTAGCCCTTCTCGTTCGACTAAGCACGCTTTGGCTCAGAGGAGACGGTCAGGCTGTGCGCTCCGGGACATTAGCAGGTGTGATCACAAGAGGCAAATATAATTACGTCCAGGAGATCACCGCTTCTCCGGGCCACTCCATCTCTACCCGCGGGGCTAGAGGCTCACAGACCTTACGAGTGTGTTGGGGGGTGTTCAGAATCACACCTGCAGGGCGACTTGGGAATGGGCGGAAGGGGGAGTACTGACAACAAGCCTGGAGGACTGAGATTGTTTTCCTGATGGAAAGAAGAGAAATACAAGGGGGAAACGAAGGAGCAGGGGAGAGACGGGCCTCCCTCCGCCTACACTGAAAGCAACTCTGAAAAAGACCGTCATGGAACCAGAACATCAGGTCCTTTGCTAGAATTCCGAAAGGGCCGAGTTTGGGAGAGTGTGGAGACGTGTGACAAGTGAAATACGTCCGCTCCCACAATTTCTGGCAATCTTTAACTCCCAGGACGTGTTGGGAACCCCTTTTGACTTCCCGGCTCCAAACCCAGCTTACTAACTTCTGCACTAAATTTGTAATTGCAGTCTCCATGGTCAAATGGAAAAGGGTTCTGCCTTGTGTGGCTAGCACCGCTCTTGGAACGTTAAAAAACAAAACAAAACAACAACAACAACAAAACCTAGCGTGTTTCCGAATTGGCATTTATAGCAAAGGAAGAGGAGAACCTGCTACGTCTATAATTCGCCTTAGGTGGTGGGGGATTGCCCGGAAGTTTGGAATCCTGAGGTAGCCACCTCCTGGCCAAGCTGTGCACTCGGATAATTTGCGACTTCTTTCCCAGAGTGTTCATAAGCACAAGTCATTGAAAGATTGGGGGAACTTCCACATCTCTCAGCAGGAGACGCTGTACTTGGTGGCTTTTAAAGACACTTGGAAGAGGGTGAAGGAAAGCCCCACACTTTGAAACCCCAATTCGTGTCCTACTCCTGATCCTTCTCCTCTGATGTCTGTTCATCCGGCTTCCTTGGCCGAGGTTTTATGAGACGATCTAGCTTTAGCCTGGGGCACAATTAAATGACTGGACACCTCGTCATTTGGTGAGTTCAGTCTGTAAACTGCGTCTCCACCGCTCCCAGGGCACGGAGATGGACGTAGCGACTCGTTGGCTTTCTTTGTGCGGGAAGTGCCAACGGGGCCCAGATTTGCAATCGATCGTAGTGCCCCCCCCCCATTCACCATCTCCTTCACCCCCTTCCCCTCATCTCCAGAGAAGTATAAGCAGTTTGTTATGTAAATTTCGAATCTAAAGCTATCCTTGGTTCTCTTGTTTGGTATTAACAGTCGTCGTTGTGAAATTAAGATCTGGCTTGGGAGTTTGGGGGCGGAGGGTGCAGTTTTATAAATATCAACTTTCTGCAGGTTTAGCGCTGGATATTCGCCAGAAAAAGATATTTGCGTTTGTGTTTTATAAGCTGACTCGGAAGCAAACCTCCATGTCAACGGCTTAATTGTATTTCAGGCACTTGGTTGTTTAGTGATGTGCTATTTGAACGTTAAGACACAAACATAATATCTGTAAAGGATGGATTCAAGGTTGTTGGTTTGTTTTTGGTTTTTTTTTTTGGCTTAAGTTTTATGTGTCCCTCTTTTGCTGCTCAATGAGGCAGTTCAATCATGCGTCTCCCCCAACGACCCCAGCGGGTAGTTTTTCCTGCTGTACTTACAGCTTGGAGACCCCGCAGGCGACAATGGTAATGGATGTTTGGTGGAACTGTCGCTTGGCCGTCACCCCTCTCGCAGACCAGCCAGCCAGGGTTACAATTCTCTGGGCCCCCGATGGGATCTTAGTTAGAAGGGGGAGTGACGTCACAGCAATGTTTAAAGCAGGGCCTCCCGCTCCCGTTTTGTAGCGAAAAGACCAGGAAGGGAGGAGATGTGATGACCACTCCAGGAAATGCCCGGATTTGGCACTATGAAGCACCGAAAGGATAGTGTGTGTATTATTTTTCTTTTTGTTCTTTTTAAAGTCAAGTGGAAGGAATGGGTTGGCAGCGTGGGGTCCCGAGTCCAAGAAATGACTTTGTCTTCATTGTCAGAGACCCCTCGGGAACCTTCCAGCATGCCTCCCCGACTTACCCACACCTCTCTCCCCGCCTGTGGTGTGTCCACTTATCCTCACCCTTACTCTCGGTTCCACCCTGGAAGTCGGACGTGTTGGGAGCCAGGACGCTCTCACGCTCGCCGAGGGGTTCCGCTCCTGGCCGGGAAGCTGCGGGAAACAGGAAAGGCCGGCTTAGGGTCTGAGGGAAAGGGCGCCCAAGAGGTGGATCCATCAGGAGCTCTGCACACAAGGAAGGAGGCTGGAAATCCTCAGCCGTCCAACATCGTCCCCTTGACGTCGTGAGAAGTGGACAATTAAGACTATTGTCCCAAGAGTGCTACTTAAAAAATTCCAGTAGTCTAAAATTTACAAACAACTGGACGGGAGTGTGGGGTGGTGGAAGCCGGAGGGGTTTCGAACTTAGTGCTCCATTTGGCCTCGTTTGCGAAGACCAGAAACGCAGGATCAGGGATGCTAGCCTGGTGTCAATAACCGTTATTCGTTGTCAAACTGCCAGCCCATCAGGTAGGGTTTATATCATCTGTGTGACTTCAGAGGGGCATCAATACCCACACTGTCTGGGTGGCTAAGACGCAGGGAGGACTGGCTCCCTTCTCCTCGGTTGGTGGAGTTTATGAGTTAGAGGTTCTGTTCCCGCAGTTTCCTCCTTAGTAGAAATCTAATTCCTACAATAGCAGAACATGTGATTTTCAGTCACGTTTTAAAGAAAAGATGGTACACACTGCCTGTTTACATGACTGAATTCATCAGGTAGTTGCTCCCTTGGGACGGCCTTCCTCGGAGAGTTTGTGTGAAGGAATAATTTAATTTCATCTTCCAACTTCCCAAAACGGCTGGTTCTGCCACTTATTTACAGGGAGTGGGATAGAGAACATACCAACATCTATTGGAGTTCGTTATCCCCTCCAGCCTGCCTGCAGACCCCCAGCCCACCTGTAGCGCTCCTGCAGGAAAGTCCCAGTGGCTCTCCACGTTCAGGGTCCAACTCAGCATCAAGAAGGGGTTATAAGATGCTGGAAAGGAATCTGTCTTTTAACTTGGGCGTTTGACTTCAAAAGACCAGTAGAGGAAGATGTTGCTAAGAGCCGTCAAGTCTGTTCTGACTCTTTTCCGAGGTACAGCTGGTGGGTTTGAACGGCTTGGATATACACATGTATTATATGTGTGTGTCCAGGACAAGAACAAAGTTTGTAATGGGGTAGCTGGTCAGAAAGGTGGAGGGGTGCGTGTGTACTCGCCTCGGGCTTTGCCTCCTCCGGACCCAAGAGGGCCGCGAGCTCCAGGGCCTGCAGGGGCAGAGCCCCCATCCCCTCGCGGTCGCGCCCAGGCCCGGACGATCTGAGCGCCGGCCACTGGAGGACCACTGGCGCAGGTACTGGGGTGAAAAGCGCGCGCGCCTGCACCGGATGCGTTTTGGC